GTGGCTCCCTCTCCTCTAAGACAGGGGGTACTCAGGTGGCTCCTCTCCCTAAGACAGGTGGTACTCGCTGGCTCCCTCTCTAAGACAGGTGGTACTCCCATGTGCAAACCCTCCTCCAGACAGGTGGTACTCAGCTGGCTCCCTCCCCTGAACAGGTGGTACTCAGCTGGCTCCTCTTGCCTCTAAGACAGGTGGTGCTCAGCTGGCTCCTCCCCTAAGACAGGTGGTACTCAGCTGGCTCCTCCCTAAGACAGGTGGTACTCAGCTGGCTCCCTCTCCCTAAGACAGGTGGTACTCAGCTGGCTCCCTCCCCTAAGTTAGGTGGTACTCAGCTGGCTCCCTCCCCTAAGTTAGGTGGTACTCAGCTGGCTCCCTCTCCTAAGACAGGTGGTACTCAGCTGGCTCTAACGCGAATTATTTAAAAAGTCTGTCAACACCTTTTTTCGTAATCAAGAATTTAAGCAATAAGAAAAAATATACTTCTAAAAACCAGAATTCCCTTAACGAGGATAAATACGAGAGAGAGTGATTCACCCTCACTTACAGAGAAGCATTAAGAGCAAAAGTTTTCCCCCGTCCACTAACAATAATTCAAGAAACTTTCCTCTTTTACTAACACGAGTCGTACGAGTATTTTCAGAGCGTTTTTAAAGACGAGATAACCTAACCTAACCTAACCTACCCTAACCTAACCTAACCTACCCTAACCTGACCTACCCTAACCTGACCTACCCTACCCTAACCTAACCTGACCTGACCTAACCTAACCATGGTAAAGTTGGGTTAAGTTATAGTGTGTGTTATTATTATCTACATGTTGTGTCTACAGATCAGATTCAATGTTCCAAACTAAGAACTAAGTAGAAATTATCGCTATTTAATTATTAATGTAAGGTGATCTATCTTTAACTTGGTCAGGAGTTTATCGGACCTCCTGTGGGGGTGGGGGGGGGAGGGAGTCAAATTAAAGTTACAACCTGAAGATTAGACACCCCAGCTTATTTTAGATGAACTTAACCTAATCCAAATTAACTTAACGTCACTTAATCTAATGTAACTTAACCTAAGCCCCCAGATGTACAGTATTTCACTTGAAGATTAAACACCCTAACGTTAACTGGGGGGATTAGGTTAAGTTAGGTTAATGAGGTGTTTAATCACAAACTTAATCATCAGGTTAAATAAGCTGGGGCGCCTAATCTTCACGTGATCCCATTTTACAAAGTTTTTTTTTTTTTTTAAGAAGTCTGCGTTCATGGTCGGGTGATCTGTCGGCGTCATGGTCGGGTGATCTGTCGGCGTCATGGCGGCAGAGGGCGCTGATGAATATATTACGTGGGAGCCAGACGCATGAAGGATATTCTTATGCATTATCAGTTAGGGAGCCTCGCCACCCTGAGCTGGTGGTACAGCTTCTTCCTCGCTTGATCGATGACGGGGTGTTTAACTTCCGGGCGTGAAGGCTCGGGGAAGGAGAGGAGTCTTGTAGACGTTAAGACTCCTACCTCGTCTTCTCTCTTTTCCTCCTGCTTTGTTTACCGGATGGGAGGAAGAAGGAGGTGGGAGATAGGATGAGGAGGGAGGGATGGAACAACCACCCCAGAACTAGGAGAATAATGCGTACATGGAACGTCTAAGGCAGTATTTCCGTCAGGTACTGAGAGGACCTCCCTGATGACCCAGGATTTATCGCCCACCCATTCTTTCCCTCCCTCAGCACTTCTCCTGAGTATGATGAGGTCCTCCTCCGTCATACTAATGAACCCCCCCCCTCCCCCCTCACTCCTCACTCCCTCCCACCCCCTCAACACCACCTGGATGTTGGTGAGGATCGTCCCTTGAGATGTTAGGTAGCTGAGAGCGGCGCTACTGAGGACGGTCATGTGTCTGGGTGTGTACTCTAGTGTGTTTCTGAGACGCCAGGGTGTTGCAACTCTGTTGAAGTGTGTGTCAGGGTGTTGCAGCTCTGTTGAAGTGTGTGTCAGGTTGTTGCAGCTCTGTTGAAGTGTGTGTCAGGGTGTTGCAGCTCTGTTGAAGTGTGTGTCTGGGTGTTGAATCTCTGTCGAAGTGTGTGTCAGGGTGTTGCAGTTCTGTTGAACTGTGTGTCAGGTGTTGCAGCTCTGTTGAAGTGTGTCTGGGTGTTGCATCTCTGTCGAAGTGTGTGTCAGGGTGTTGCAGCTCTGTTGAAGTGTGTGTCAGGGTGTTGCAGTTCTGTTGAAGTGTGTGTCAGGGTGTTGCAGCTCTGGTGAAGTGTGTGTCAGGGTGTTGCAGCTCTGTTGAAGTGTGTGTCAGGGTGTTGCAGTTCTCTTGAAGTGTGTGTCAGGGTGTTGCAGCTCTGGTGAAGTGTGTGTCAGGGTGTTGCAGTTCTGTTGAAGTGTGTGTGTCAGTGTGTGGGTGTTTCTGTTGAAGTTCTGTGTGGGTGTTGCAGTTCTGTTGAAGTGTGTCAGGGTGTTGCAGCTCTGGTGAAGTGTGTGTCAGGGTGTTGCAGCTCTGTTGAAGTGTGTGTCAGGGTGTTGCAGTTCTCTTGAAGTGTGTGTCAGGGTGTTGCAGCTCTGGTGAAGTGTGTGTCAGGGTGTTGCAGTTCTGTTGAAGTGTGTGTCAGGGTGTTGCAGTTCTGTTGAAGTGTGTGTCAGGGTGTGTCGTAGCACAGTCAGTGTCGCGGATCGTCCTGTAAACCCGTGAAGCTTATCAGTTGGGGCCTTCTCGCTCCTCTGCCAAGCCGCCGCCACACTGACGACTTCCCAGGGCTCAACAGGTGACGCCAAAATTTTGTTATAGTTTTTCTGCCACCTTAGTTGTCTCATGTCTCAAGATACTCCTTCCACGTGATACTTTTTGTATAAAGTTTTGTTTTTCTTCTCTTTTCCAGGAGTTGTGTCGAGGATGTTAGCAACACTTACGCTTTACTTCACGTTAATTGTCAGAGGTCGGGGACGGGAAGCTGGACTCTAGGGGGATGGTGCAGGAGAGACTTGCATTTTTACTGGTACACCCTCTGAAGGTGCTCAGGAAGCCTCACTGTCTTCAGGAAGCCTCACTGTCTTCAGGAAGCCTCACTGTCTTCAGGAAGCCTCACTGTCTTCGGGAAGCCTCACTGTCTTCAGGAAGCCTCGCTGTCTTCAGGAAGCCTCGCTGTCTTCAGGAAGCCTCGCTGTCTTCAGGAAGCCTCCCTTACCAAGTCTTCATATCACACGTCGGTGTTCACAACAACACGCTCGATGCTCACATTATTCGCATCACAGTAAATCAATGCCTTATACAAGCTGTCTCTGCCTCACTGCCTTCCACAGATCTCCCTCCGCGTCAGGAGACAGCTCGTTCACTTCCCTAGGTAGGCCATTGTTGTGACAAACATTCACGAAGCCTTTTTCTTAGCACGAGGAGGAGGTGTGTGTGTATGTGTGTGTGTGTGTGTGTTTTAGGGACCATCGACGGGAGGATTCGAGGCTATCAAAACCCAATCCTATCAAGGCAGCCGGAGCAGGTCGTTTACTGACGCTCCCACACCCATAATGCTCTTCTCTACTCACATCCGGCTCTTCTGCGGTAGTCTTCTGGGCCAGGAGGTTCCCAGAGGCAGATGGAGATAGTGTAGTATTTCCCGGACTCATAACACGACGCCCTCTAGGTAGGAACGGTTAACTCGAGCATGTGGTTGATGGTGGTCAGCGTCCAGTAGCAGTTGAGAGATATGTTCTGTTTCTCCCTCAAGGTTTTATCGTTATTATTTATCAGTTTAAAGGCCGTAGAGAACATTACCCAACGTCCATCTTGTGTCTGTCTCGCGGTGTTGTCTGCTACACACTGACACAGCCCTCCCTCAACAGCCCTCATCCATCTGGACCTTACCTCCGCTGCTGTCATCTTTCTTCCGCTCTTTCCAAGTCTTCACTGTGTCTCCTTACCTTTTATCTTGGTCTACTTATCTCCTTTCCTCTTTTCGTCTCGCTCTTTCGCACTCGTCCTGACCACCACCACCACCACCACCACCATCCCAGACCTCTACCTCGCCACCACCAAGTGAACCTCACCAGTGCTTCCCCCTCACTCGTCCCCTTCATGACCACTCACCCAGTTTGCTCTTTTCCAGTCTTTCATCTCCCGTTCTCTCCCCTTTTCACTCTATTTTTTTCTGACTTTCTCCCTCTCTGTCTCTTTGTTTGTTGTTGGTTCTTATCTGTCCCCCTCCCCCCCCCCCAGTCCTTCCCCTACCCACCGCCCTACAGTGAGCCGCACAACACCTCCCTCCCCGCCACACCAGAGGGAATTTTACTAGTACCTGATACTCTAGTTCCCCCTCGGAATGTGTGTTGTGGTGTCTCTTAACCCCATTCCCCTCTTCTCCTGTTCTTACTCTTTTCTTCTCTTCTTCTTCCCCTCTTCTTATTGTCCTCACCTCTTTACTACTTTCTTCTCTTCTTACTCTCTTCCCCATTTCTTACTCTCTTCCCCTCTTCTCCTTACTCTTTCCTCTCCGTGTCGAAGACTTGTACCGAACATTTCCCCCAGGGGTTGTGTGAGCGACCTGCAGTAACTCACCCAACCCTCCCCACATTACTGTCCTCGCCGCCCACCCACTCCCACCCCTTCACCACCCACACCTACCGACTCCCACCCTTTCTACATCTTCACCCACCCTCATTCCGCCCCTTCACCACCCAGTGTTCACTTTCCAGCTGCATAAGACATCGTATTGAGGAGGGCAGGTGAGGGAGGAAGAAAGAGAAGACGTTGTGTAGAGGGTGAGGGAGGGAGGGAGATAGGGAGGGTGAATCAGGGAAGGGGAGGGAGGGAAGAAGGGAGGAAGGGAGGGAGAAGATGTCGAATAGAGGGGGTGAGGGAGAGAAGGCGAAAAGACGTCGTGTAGAGGGTTAGGGATGGAGAAGACGTCGTATTAAGGGTGAGGAAGGGAGAGAGGATGAGGTAAGGAGAGAGGGTGAGGTAGGGAGAGAAGGTGAAGGAGGGAGGATGGTGGGGAGTGTGGTCTCCTGGGGACGTACCTGCAGCCCTGGCCTCCTTGCAGGCCTCGTACATGTCCGCCTTGATCTCCGGGTTGTCATCGGCGATGGTCTCCCCCACGGTGACGAAGCGGTCCACAGCCACGTTCACGGCCTGACCCACCCGGCACAGGGCGCGAGCGGTCTTGTCGCACCCCGCCCCGCCCCGCTCCCCCGGGGACGTCACCAATGTGCTGATCTGTGGGTGGAGAGAAGCTGTTAGTGGGGAGACTTGTGTGTTGCCTGTCACTCCCTGCCCATCCCCTTCCCTCACCCCGCCACGCCCCAACCCGCCCCAAAGCAAATGAATCCCAAGGTCCCTTCCCCGACTTCCGTCCTTAACAAGAGAAAGAGGAGGAGGTAGGGTATGTGACCTATCAGCCCATCATGGCACCCCTCAACACACACACAAGTTGCAAAATACAACCTCAACTCCGTCTGCCTCTTGTTAACATAAATAAGAAGTCTCCCTCAGGTTTAACACAACACCTACGAGGTATTACTTGGACCAGTCACACACACACACACACACCAGTGACCTCAACGTCTTGTCGTTTCTCTTCTGCCCCCTGAGTGTGTTGCATGTTAACGTCTCACTCATAACTACCTACTGACGGCTGTATGACCATCAGAAGTGGTAGTCCCCCCCCCCCTCCTGCAGATACTCCCATAAAACAGACACTTTCCCACAATCACATGACAACTGATAACCTTTGACCTAACAACTGTCATCTGAAATAAATACACAACCTACTGTATGTTTTTATAGGATTTCAGCTGACGTCATTTAATACAAGAATACAATATAACATGATAGAGGGATACTGACTGTGATGTACCTGACCCCCGCTATAATGAATGCTACACTAACTCTACCTGACCCCCGCTATAATGAATGCTACAGTAACTCTACCTGACCCCCGCTATAATGAATGCTACAGTAACTCTACCTGACCCCCGTTATTATGAGTGCCATCAAGGTAAACAGCTGGTGCGTTAGGTCAGGTCAGGTTAAAACACCACCACTGTTGCTTCTGAATATATTATTTAGGAGCACATAAAGATTAACTACTCCAACTTATTTCACCAGATGAATTAACACTTTAACGCTTACCTAACCTAACCTAACCTAACCTAACCTAACCTAACGCTAACCTAACCTAACCTAACTCCTTCCCCTGCGGCGTATTACTCAAAAAAGGAACAGAAGCGTGAGTCATATATTAACATAGGAGAGAAAAGGAACAGGACAACATAGCCCATCCACATACTACACCCACACAGCCCATCCACATAGCCCACCCCATCCACATACGCCGTCTCTATCACGTAGTATAAAATTATCTTGTGAAAAAATTATTGGATGAGACGAATATTTAAAAACAAATGATGACAGAAAGATATATTATTGATTACACTGACATATTGTTTACAATGATTGCTATATACCTCCGTCCGGGTCAGTTGGTTGTGGTGGTGGGGGGGGGGTAAGTAACACCATAGCAACTATAACACTATCATAACCACCACAACAACAATAAGGCCATCACAAAACAACAACAACAACACATGACGTATCGACAAGCAAAAAATGGAAGTATAAATGTATGAACACCACAGGGAAAATTAAACCAACTCTTCCTTAATTTAATACCGAGACACTCACGATATATGTGTATGTTAATACTTTATATAATAAACACTGAAGCATTGAATAAACACACACACACACACACTTGTATCCTGACCACCGGAGGGTCAGGATGTATCGACGCTGCTTCGGCAGCTGCCTGGGCCAAATTGTTGGTCCCACCCGAACGCCTCCCCCCAACCCCTCCTCCCCACTGGGATATCAACAAATTCCAGCCAAAACTGACAATTTCGTTTCTGAAAGAAGTGGAATTAGTGTTGAACAGTGTTTACTGTTTAAGCCAGTGGAAACAACACTGAACAATAAACAGCTGAGATTCGTGGACAAGTTAACCTTCACACCCACCAGTAAGGTCTCGGTACACCCAGAGAGAACCGTCTGTGTGAACAACTCCTGCCAACAAGGGGACAGGATGATAATCAGTCCACACTGGGAAGGGTCGAGAGTCTGGCAAATGTTTACCTTCACACCTAACTGTGAGGCACCACATGGCAGCGAGCAAGGTACTGCTACACCACACCACGTGGGTCCCCATGACACTGTGACGCCACTTCATGAACGAGTTGCTGCGGCATCAGGCGAGGTCCCTCATGACAACACATGTGAACGAGTTACTGCACAACTGTTTGCTGTTCAACACCTCAGTACACGCGGCCTGCTTGACCTAACACAGGCCCGGTCGTCCACTGTAAACAATAGCCTGTATGTTCACTTAGTGTTCTCTTTCCTTTTTACAATGAAAGCTTTTCTGAAGCGACCCATTCCCCCATGAATCCCCGTATTATAAGTCATTTCAGTACATTGTATATTTTCAGCCTTTTGGTTGCTGCACCATTTTTAATAAACCATTAAATATTGTTATTTTCTCAATGGTAATAATGATTATTATTACTGTATTACTATTATTACATTTACACACCCATTCTAACGCGTGCACGCATACAGACGTGTACTGGAGGAGGATGGTGAGGACGTGTACTGGAGGAGGATGGTGAGGACGTGTACTGGAGGAGGATGGTGAAGACGTGTACTGGAGGAGGATGGTGAGGACGTGTACTGGAGGAGGATGATGAGTACGTGTACTGGAGGAGGATGATGAGGACGTGTACTGGAGGAGGACGGTGAGGACGTGTACTGGAGGAGGACGGTGAGGACGTGTACTGGAGGAGGACGGTGAGGACGTGTACTGAGGAGGATGGCAGGACGTACTGAGGAGGATGGTGAGGACGTGTACTGAGGAGGATGGTGAGGGCGTGTACTGAGGAGGACGGTGAGGACGTACTGAGGAGTGATGGTGGAGGACGTGTACTGAGGAGGATGGTGAGGACGTACTGGAGGAGGATGGTGAGGACGTGTACTGGAGGAGGACGTCAGGATCAATTATTACACAGTGTGGGATCCGCTATATGAATCCGCTATATGAATCCGCTATATGAATCCGCTATATGAATCCACTATATGAATCCATTATATGAATCCGCTATATGAATCCGCTATATGAATCCGCTATATGAATCCACTATATGAATCCACTATATGAACCCGCTATTTGAATCCGCTATATGAATCCGCTATATGAATCCACTATATGAATCCACTATATGAATCCGCTATATGAATCCACTATATGAATCCACTATATGAATCCACTATATGAATCCACTATATGAATCCACTATATGAATCCACTATATGAACCCGCTATATGAATCCGCTATATGAATCCACTATATGAATCCGCTATATGAATCCGCTATATGAATCCGCTATATGAATTCGCTATATATCACCTATAATATAACACAGGTATCGACCTTATCAGCATCTCGACCGTGTATTTCGACCACTCCTCGACCTCTTACGCTATCGACCTCTTATGCTATCGTCCTCTTACGCTATCGACCTCTTACGCTATCGACCTCTTACGCTATCGACCTCATCACCTCATGTCGATGTTAGTGTAGTGAAGTACCGGGAACAGGTGTATTGATGATGTAATTATTGATAACTGACTTATAGGTGTATTGACTTACAGGTGTATTGACTTACAGGTGTATTGACGGTAGTGTACTGTTATTGTTCATTATTGTCACTGTATAATGATGTACTGTACACTTATAATGATGTAAGTAATGACCTTGTGTACTAAGAAGAGTGTACTACCTATGATAAGTGATTAAGTAGGTGTAGTTGACTTTTACTTAACACTTAATAATGAATACACTTAACTTAAACCGAACTTAAACCGAACTTAAACCATACCAAACCTATCCTTAACTTAACCCTTACTTAATCTAATCTAATCTTAACCCAAACTACCCCTTTAACTTAACCTAACCTAACCCTAACTTAACCTAAATTAAACTTGACGTAACCCTAACTTAACGTACCCTACGACAGTTCAGGTGTGTGTGTGTGTGTGTGTACAGCAGGGGGCCAGAGCTACTGCACCAAAACACTCTATTATATTGACTCGTGTGGCTGGAGGCGACCGTCGTTTTACCGCACAGTGCTTGGCCTTGTTTTAATGTGCTCTCTCTCTCTCTCTCTCTCTCTCTCTCTCTCTCTCTCTCTCTCTCTCAAACAAACATAGCTCGGGAAAAATTAATTGTAGACAAACGCAGCGGGGTAAACAATGGCGGTCGAATGCATCTGCCAACACACACACACACACTAAAGGTTAGGTTAGGTTAGGTTAGGTTAGGTTAGGTTAGGTTAGGTTAGTTAAGGTAGGTTAGGTTAAGTTAGGTTTAGGTTAACCTCAGGACCGCCAAGAGAGGCGTCGAGTCCACTCAGGCCACAGTAACTTCCGTCTCTCCCCCCACTCAGCTACCCCTCTCCACTACCCCTACTATAAGAGTCCCCTGTCCACTAGCTCCTACTCCACGACCATCCACTCCTAACCCCTACACTCCCGACCCCCTTTTATGACCCCCACTCCTCGGCTCCTCCCGACTCCCCACTCCCGACCCCTACTTTGACCCCCACACTTGACCCCCAGCACACGACCCCCACTATACGACCCCATACGACCCTTCCTCCCGACCCCCATTTACGACCCCCCACTCCACCACCTCTCCACTTCACTGCCCCCACTCCACTTCACGACCCCCACACTTCACGACCCTCCACTGCACTCAGTCAATATTAGAAAATGGATTTGTTATATACACAGAATTCACATGTCGTACGTACACACACACACGCACACAATACTCCTGTGTACACACAAAACTACACACATAATACTCCCATGTACACACAATTCTTTAATGTACACACAATAGTCTCGTGTACACTCAATAATCTAGTGTACACATAACACACTTGTCGCATACATACACACAAAATACCCATTTACACAGATTACATTATACACACACATAAAAAATTCATGTATACATAATAAAACTCGTGCACAGAGAAAAATTATGTACACACAATAAACTCATGTATACAACAGACAAACTACACATAAAAACAGACACAGTAAAGATTAATTAAAACCAAAAGGAAAATAAAACTCGGGAAGAGAAGAAAAAACAAAA